GGAACTCTGCCATTCAACAACACATTACGTTTGTTTTTGTTTCAAAATAATTTAAGCCACTCAGGAATGAGTTTTGTTTTATACAGCCAAACAATCAAAATTTTGAAACGAGTGCCAAGTGAATGCACATCCTACTGATTCAATCATTTTACGGCTCTGATCCTCAGCTCGACGGAGTTGGATCTACAATATTCATTGCATGAGTGGAATCATATGAATCATTCCACTCAACCCGAAATTTGTAAATGCTGTTTTCGCTAACTAGTTAGGGCATTGCTATGCAGATGGTGGTTTTTACCAAAGCATGTTAAAATTGCGTTTGCTTATGCATGTGTATGTATGTATGTACTTTGGTTACAGATAGTTGTTTTTACCAAAGCATGTTAAAATTGAGTTTGTTTATACATGCATATATATGTATGTACTTACTTTGGTGCGTATACATATTCATATCTACCCTGCAGAAAATCTGACTAGCTCAGAACTAGCGTAGAACTAGACCTTTTGCCGGCAGTACTAGTTCTAGCTCAATACCCACGCAATGCTTTCAACTATTCAGTTTTACACGGCGATGTCATTGGCGGTGGCAATTGTCGCCGGTGCATTACTTTGCAACTATGTAGTTTTAACCGGTTCCTTTTTTTTAATGTTTTAAAAACAAAACAAAAAAAATTTGCAATGGTTTTTTATGAAATTAAAGAGTTTTGCTTTATTTCAAAATAAAATTGTTGTTGAACAAAAATTTCCTCGCTTAATTTTTGCGTTTTATTTAAAAAAAGATAGAAATCCTAAATCCCTCCCTCAATATTTTTCTTTTCGTGACCTGCTGAGAGTTAATTGAAAAATCAGTGACTTTTTCTTTAACTAGATACATGAGATAGCTTACAGGCTAACCTAATATTCACGCACGCCGGCAGTTTACTGTCAAAAATTTCTCATGCACATACAACTTGTATGGGACCAACCGAAATTGACCGGCGTGCGTAAAAAGCTAACTAAAGTTCTAAGATTTGTGTCGCGTGACATTTCGGTTTGACGTGTGTGCTCATTTGACATTTTGGCGCTACTTTGAATAAAACTTCCGGAACAAATACAGAATAGCTCTGATTCTCAAATAAAAAAAAAAAAATATTGGGGTCGATAGAGATGATTGAGCTGAACATAACGGCATATTTTTTTCTTTTGCGGAAACAACAACTTCAAAAGTTATTAAGGGTCAAATTTCAAATTAAACAATTCTTTAAATTAAAATTTTTTGAAAACGAATGCATGGATTTTAAAAATTTTGATCTCATTTGATTGGAAATTTGATTTCCTTTAACTTGATATAAATATAATCCTTCCTAAGTAGAATTCTCCTTTCTGTGTTGCCTCTGCGGCAACAGAAGCGGAATTCCTTTCTGTGTACATTAATTCGATTTTTGTGAAAACTAAACAAGGCACATTTAAACTATAGTAAAGTATGTATATCAAAGGGAACTAAATTTCGTATCGATTGAGACCAAAAGTTTTAAAATCTATAATTTCGTTTTTAAGAAATTTGGATTTAAAAATTTGTTTAATTCGTACTTTGACCCTTAATAATTTTTGTAATTGTTGTTTCCGCAAGAAAAGAAATATACCGTTATACTCACCTCAATGATCTCTATCGATCCCCATATTTCTTTTTCTTAAATTTGATATTCGAAGTTACTCTGCATTTATCCTCAAATTTTGCTCAACTTCTGAAATTTTACAGAAATGCAACTCTGAAAAATCACGCACCCAAACTTATTTCGGTTACTCAAATGTGAAAAACTTGCATGCGAGCGTAGAAAAATTCACGCCTGGAATATTAGGTTGGCCTGTTACTGAATACAACATAGACTGCTTACTTTTTTCCAGGCAAAATACAAAAAAGGCATTAATTTGGCAGCTAGCTCTTAGCAGGTCACAAAAAGAAAAATATGGAGCAGATTTAGGATTTCTATTTTATTTTAAAAAAAACGCGAAAATGGAGCGAGTAAATATTTGTTCAACAATTTCAAATGGAAATAAACCAAAATACCTTAGTATCATATAAAACCATTGGAAAAAATATTAATTTTTTAAACAATAAAATCTAAAGACTATGCAACAAAATAAATTAAACAAAAAATATGTCATGATAGAACATCGCGAGCAAAATGAATACATGCTATAAATTGACTGTCTGTGTTTGTTCCACCACACCTTTGTGGTAAACTGTGTATGGCTCTCTCTTACTGAGACTGTGTGCCAATCAGTAATATAGTAGTATAAGTAGTATAAGTAATAAATTGAATTTTCCTGTGCCAAATGCAAAGTAATATTTTGACAGTTCAAAAAAGCCAAACCAACACTCGTTCTAAATCTCTGTTTTTGTGTGTTGCTTAAATTGTTCATATTTATCCTTAAACCTCTGTTTTCGTTCACGTAAAATCTGTCAAACGAAAACAATTTTCGCTGAAAACTACTTGAAAACTCACGCTTCACTCTTACCAATCTGTGCCTGCAATAGCTTTTTTTAGATATATTTATCGAAGTGAAAGTCATATTTTATCATGTTTAATTCAACAGTTCAGATTTATTCTTAATTGGCTGGCCAACTTAATATAAGAATAAAAGAAAAGGGATGTTAGTGACAAGAAAATAAAATAAAATTGTTTTGGTTTTGCTTTTTTTATTCCAGACCTATAAATAATGGATGTAAGAAATGCCAACGAAAAAACTAACAGCCGGTGTGGACAGCCTTCCAAATCCCAAAACATGTTTCAATTTGTTTTCGTTGTCGGTCAGAATATGGTATAACTGAATACAAGGGTGAAAGCAGTTTCTTGCTCGTGGAAGGTCCTAGTAAATCGATTAATTGCGATGAATTTTGTAAACAGTGGCTTTGTTTCTTTTCTTTTCTAGGGTAGCTTATCAGGAAGAAGAAGAATGGGAAAATTAAAAGAATTACGCTCACAGAGAGCGAAATAAAGAAATAATAAAGAAACGCAAAACTAGCAGAAACTAGCAAGTAAACCGCTGATCGATGTATTTGACTATTGAAAATATTTGGCGCGAATTTTTGTTTATCCATTTTGACAGCTGCTGGTTCCTACAAAAATTAAGAGCGTAAGAACGAGAGAGCTGCTAGTTTTTTTGGGTTAAGAAACGCTTTCCTGCAGAAATTAGTGATAATTTGTGATGATTATCTGTTAAGAAACAAAGCTAGCAGAAACTAGCAGCTCTCTCTCGTTCTTACGTTCTTCTTTCTTTGGCTCTCCTGCTAGTAAAATTTTAACTAGCAGAAACTAGCAGCTGTCAAATGGATACACAAAAATTCGCGCAAAATATTTTCAATAGTCAAATACACCAATCGGGGAAAACTTCGCCAGAGTGCACCACGCTTTGAACAAAACGACTTTTTTGGAAGGGTAGAGGGGGTCCTACACATCACAAAACTGAAAACCAGACCGCGAGGAAACTCATAGTTTACGAGTAATTTGTTGTTAAAGTTGAAAATTTCACCCCAAAATATGTACAACAAACCATTTCAAACAAATACAGGTGTGTAGAAAACACACATTCCAACTAAATTAAGCTCTTTGAACGTTTATCTATTTCATATTTTATTAATTTCATTATTTAACGATGAGGAACACGTTTATAAATTTGTTTACTTTTCTTTAGAGAACTCAACCAGTATGAAAGTGCAGGTATGGATAATTACGAAGATGGCCGCATGTGTGATTAAGTAAGAATATTTTAAAGGCGTAAGAATATTGTGAGTGCTATTGTATTATGAGTTTAATAGCAATTATGAGTATTATGTGTTCAATAGCAATTGAATATTATGTACGCAGAATTCAACGATGTCAGTAGCTTTGACACAAGACGCTTTCAGCGTAAGCGGCCTTCGGCCGCGCTTAGGGATTGTAACCCTCACAATGTAGAATTCTCCTTTTTGTGTTGCCTTCTCAAGTGTATAAAACACCTTCTGACTTCGTAGTATTTTTTGGCGCAGAACCCTTTCTGCGCAGGCGGCCTTTGGCCGCGCTTAGGGATTATAACCCTCACAATGTAGAATTCTCCTTTTGTATTGAGAAGAAAATTAGCAGAAGCATTTTTGAGCAGGACTTCTTTCTGCGTAGGCGGCCTGCGGTCGCGCTTAGGGATTATAACCCTCACAAAGTAGAATTCTCTTTCTGTGTTGCGAAGAAAATGAGCAGAAGTATTTTTGAGCAGAACTTCTATCTGCGTAGGCGGTCTGCAATCGCGCTTAAGGATCATAACCCTAACAATTTAGAATTCGGCATACATCAAGATAACCAACCGTTCAGCTATAGAAAAACTAAAAATGCAGATTGCTAGTACTTTTTACGCTGATTTTAACTATATAAATATTATTTGCCGCAATTAAAAAGCAAAGCAGATATAAGAGGTAAAACAAAAAAATTGTGATATTTTAAAACATTAATATTTTCTAAACTGCGTAACCGATTTAAAAACTAATGATGTCAAAATAAAGACACTTAATTTAACTTCAAGCTGATATATAAAATGTGTATGATTTTTTATATATTTAAGCCAAAAATATTATAAAACCAAAAAAATGTCATAATTTTTTCATAAAATAACCCTTTTTTAGAAAAAGTCCATAATCAATGCTAAAAAAATTTATATTATTGAAAAAGTGCAAGTTCTTACCTTTGATTTGATATACTTATTATATTATGATTTGCTTTTGAGTTTTCAGAATTCAGTGATAATAAAAAATATAAATGCATGTATTTGCAAATGCATATTTTAGTTAATTAAACAAGGCGAGTTAACGGACTATTTTGGAAAGGGTACTGTTTTTGTTGGAAGCGGGAAAATTTATGCCGTTTTATATGTACATATATGTATATACTTACAGCTATTTTTCATTTGTTTGTGTTCCGGCGGAGATAAAAAACGTATTTTGAATATTTTTTAAAAAGATGAATACTCTTAATTTATTTAAAATATATAAAATGTTTGAACGTGAGGACGGTCTTAAGATTAATGCAAATGTGCTCGAACAGTTGCAGGAGTGGAATTTAATTCCTCGTGAAGGGCAATATTTATGCGCTCGGGGCCATCCGCTGAAATTGTTGGAGTGCACTGCATCATCGGATGGATTCGTTTGGAGGTAAGTTTACCGTGCGTCTATTAAACTGTAATACAAAAAAAAATTATGTGTAGGTGCCGTAAAATTTCGAAGTCTGGAAAGCAAGTGCGAACGTGTAATCAGCAAATTTCATTAAGAAAAAACACATTCTTTGATAGGTCGAGGCTATCGATGGTGAAGCTCATTGCATTTTCTTACTTTTGGTTGAAGAATGTGACACAAGATTTTATAATTGAGGAGTTAAGTATTACAAGACTGACCGCAGTTGATTGGTGTAATTTTTGCCGTGAGGTAGTGTATGACGGCATGGTTGTAAAGGGGCGGAAAATTGGAGGTGTCGGGTCTATTGTTGAGATAGACGAAAGCAAATTCGGACGCCGGAAGTATCATCGTGGACACGCTGTTGAAGGGCAATGGGTTTTTGGTGGAGTGGAGCGTGGTACCAATAAGTGTTTTCTTGTTCCCGTTTAAAAGCGGGATAAGGAAACTTTATTGGCAGTTATAAAGAATTGGATTGTTCCTAACACGACCATAGTTTCCGATTTTTGGAAGGTGAGTTTAATGCCTAAGTGTCCATATATGTGTATATAAATATAAATATATATATATATATAAATTTAAAATGTTTTTCGTTGCAGGCGTATGACTGCCTAAGTGATGAAAGGTACGTTCACTTTAAAGTTAACCATTCGGTTAATTTTAAAGACCCAGAAACGCAACAACACACAAATACAATTGAGGGACTTTGGCGGCATGTCAAATATTCAATGCCGCAGTACCATCGAAACAAGAAGTTTTTTAGTGGATATTTGGCAAAATTTATGTTTGTGAGGCATTGCAAACATGCAGGTTTGGATCCGCTGAGCAATTTTTTTTAAACTGGCTGGTGCATTATACAATCCACTGAATCCATACATGCCGGAAGAAGCAGAGGATTTTGAAATTGAGGTTATGGAAGAAGAGTAGGTGTAGCTTTTAATGATTTCTGTAAGCCCTTTTAAGAATAAATTAATAATTTATAGGAGGAAGTCGAATATTTTGTTTTTTAAGTGGAAAAAAGTGATGTGTTTTATTGTCTGGCAACACAGAAAGGAGAATTTTACTTAGTAAGGGTTATGATCCATAAGCGCGGCCGAAGGCCGCCTACGCAGAAAAAAGTTCTGCGCAAAAGAAACTATGGTATCACTCTTATGTTATATCCTATTTTCTTTTGTCTCTCATTCTTTTGCATATTTTGGAGTTTGACAGCTGAACTACGCCATTTAATTTGCATATGCAACAAAAGTCAGACGCATGACTTAGAAGGTGTTTTTATTTAATAAATTGTGGTTAAGTGGTTAATATTAAAGTTATAAAGAAAGTTATAGCTCATCGAGTAAAGTGTAAAGTGAAGGAGAATATAAAAATATATTGCTGATGTAGCTGCTTTAAGGAGAATAGGAGTGATAAATTTACGCTAATTTCCGAATTTTACAAAAAAGGGCATATTTCAAACCCAATTTGTAAATAAATTAGTGACCCAAAATTACAATAGTGGATGCTAAAATAATGGGTAGACCCTTGGCTACAAGTGTGTGCAATTTTTTTTTGGATCGGGTCACCCCTTTGGACGCAATACCCCGAAATAGGTGGACCACTTACTAAACAGTACCCAGCTTAATTTAGTGGGAGTGTGAGTTTTCTGCACAGTTGTATTTGCTTGAAATGGTTTGTTATTGTACATTTTGTTATTTGAAATTTTCAACCTTTTACTCGTAAACTATGTTTCCTCGCCGTGCGGCTTTCAGTTTTGTGATGTGTAGGACTCCCTCAACACCCCCCATAAAGTCATTTTGTTCAAAGCGGAGTGCACTCTCGCGAAGTCAAACCCACCAATCTGCTGATTACTTGCTAGTTTCTGTTACTTTTGCGTTTCTTTACTTTTTCGTTATTTCGCTCTCTGTGAGCGTAATAGGCTGTTTTTGCTTACGCGTAAAAGCACATTTAGCGCATTTAGCTCTAAATGCTACTCTAAATGTACATTTATCCATACAAAATTCGTCACCTAAATGCAACTCCATTTTTGCATTAAGAATCTAAATGCTAAAAGCAACCCTGTGATCTTCCAAAATTTCCACGATTCGAACATGGTTTAAAGAGAAAAAGTGGCAACATTGCTTTTTCGAGTATACAGTTGTTAGCTACGTTTCAGTGATCGCCGATCGAGATTTCTTTTATTTTGCATTACATATTTGGGTAAAGAAAAGTTAAGCAAATTCAACATCGATTTGATGCTGATAGAAATCTGGATCAATTTGTGATCAACTCGGTTCGTTTTGTTTCCTAATTAAGTGAGAAAATTTTAATTGACATCACCGACAAATGAATATATACACAAACAAATTTTCGGTTATGGTTAAAACAATACAAGTTTTTGTATTGAATTTTTGGGTTAAAATTTATTTTTCCCTTTTCAGTAGGGTTTTTGCACATTATCTCCTGCGTGAGAATTGATCGTAATATATACGCATCTAAATAAGAGACTGGAACACGGCTGTTTGTCAAAAGCATACGATTTCGAACTCGCGTAAATGTACATTTGCTAAATGCTATAGCATGAACGCTCTTCGAAAACATATGTTCGAAAGTGCTAAATGTTGCATTTTTAATGCAGCAAAAACGCTGCATAACGCTGTCAATTTTCTCATTCTTCTTCGTCCTAATAATTATCTGCTAAAAAAGAAAAGAAACAAAGCTAGTGTAGAAGTTGGGCACTTAATCGATTGTTAATAAGAACTCGATCAATATCGATTAATTTTACCAATTTTAGAATTTTGATGTTGATCAAAATATGTTTACCTATACTTAATAATGTCTTCGAAAGCAACGTTTGGCTCTTGGATCTGTATTGGAGTGTTGGTTTTTATTACTTTATTAAGAATATCTGAGGGTGGTAGTCCTTATGAAATTCTAGGAATAGAGACTGATGCCACATCCGAAGAAGTTAGAAGAGCATATAAACGTTTGGTTAAAACATGGTGAGTACATTTTATCAGAGAATGTTTGCAAATTGGATATATCTTAAAAAGGTACGTCGTGGATTTTTGGACGACTGCATAACCCCAGCTGAGGTTGTATAAGAACTATGATTGGATAAGTTCAATAATAAAAGGCATACTACACTACACATTATAGCAGTCTTCTATGCATGGATTCTTAGGAGCAAGCCCTCCCGGATATTTGCCGGTCGTATGACTGGTTATCTGGCTGGGAGATCTCCAGCCTTTTGGCATCATATTTTTTGGTCAGAATTCATAGGTAATCGGAAAATCTAACCCAATTTTTGGGAAAATTTTAGAATGCGGACGGCAAATTCTAGAAAAAGTTGGGGTTGAATAGGACTACCTGATTCGAAAAAGGTAATTCTCTAGTGTAGGGTAACAACCCCTAAAAAAGGGCCGGAAAAGTCGGGAGGGGTACCAAACGACGCGTTTCGGCCTCCTTATTAACAATCTGGAGGGGGAGGGGCTTAACCATTTAAAAGTTATAAACAAAAAACTTGTTAAATTTCGTTGTTTTCTATGAGCAATTACTACGTCAAAAATGCACTAAATCACCAGTTTTAAAACACTATTAAAACGTCTCCGGTTATTATTTTATGCAAACCAAATCATTTATTCACTTATTTTATATATTTCGTTAATAAAACAGAGTAAACAAACTTTGCGCCTGCCAAAATTATTATAACCTCAAATCGCTGGTATTGCCACTTTATTACACATTTCATTTGCGCTATTATACTCAGTTTACACTAAACACTTCTTTTTTTACTTTCACCTGAATAAGATATTCTAACCAAAATATAATGGAAAATTTCGCTATGCCATGGCAGCGCTACTTTTATGGTTTACAGTTATTGCAGCTGTAATTAAAAGTAAGCGTCATGGAGTGCCAAAAGTGCAATTTTTTATAAAAAATTTTCATTATTTATCGAAGTATTGATTTTTACGAAAAACCGCCGCAGGCGAAAATTTTTTATAAAAAATCGCGCGATAATAAGTAGTGAAGCTTTGAGGGTGTAATTGTCCATAGAAAACAACGAAATTTAACAAAAGTTTTTTGCGATTTTTTATTAAAAATTTTCATTATATATATATTAAACGAAAGAAGATACCGAAAAGCATTGAACAGTGCACACACCTTATAAGGAAAAGTGAATTATTCCGAAATACTAATACAGTGGCAGCACTATAGCTATTTGGGAATCTCGCGTTTCAGTTCGCAAAGATTGTCAACTTCCTTTTAATAACAAAATAATCTATCTTAGGTTGATAAAACTGTGTGTTTGTTTTATAATAAGTTAAATTATATATTTTAATAGTCTTTAAAAAGTGAGAACAGGTGATTTGTGGAGCTTTGTGGGTGTAATTGTCCATAGAAAACAACGAAATTTAACAAAAGTTTTTTGCGATTTTTTATTAAAAATTTTCATTATATATATATTAAACGAAAGAAGATACCGAAAAGCATTGAACAGTGCACACACCTTATAAGGGAAAGTGAATTATTCCGAAATACTAATACAGTGGCAGCATTGTAGCTATTTGGGAATCTCGCGTTTCAGTTCGCAAAGATTGTCAACTTCCTTTAAATAACAAAATAATCTAAGGTTGATAAAACTATGTGTTTGTTTTATAATGAGTTAAATTATATATTTTAATAGTCTTTGTCACAGCTGTTTGCGTTGTGTTTATTAGGTGTCAAATATACAGTGCATCTAAAACTGTTCGCTAACTGATATTTACCAGCTGATTGGTTCACTGATTAATACATCGCTTTCAAAACCGTTTTTGCTTTTTTGCTTCTAAAACCTAAAAATAAAT